ATTCAGTCTAGAAATCAATGGTGCCATACTACCAGGTTGTTTGCAGCGTGTATGCCAGTTAATCCAGGAAAAACATGATGGAGGTTTTACTGCTGTATTAACACCATATCAGTGTACAATCCCTCTGAACGTCACAGTAGATCATSACTTATCTAAACTAACCAAGGCTGGACTCACAGATACAGAACTGGAGTATTTTTCAACAACAAACCAGCAGCTAGATAAGACATGCTTGAAAGACATCAAGTGTACCAATGGTTTATACAGTTGGACCTGATACAAAATAGAAATTTAAATTTCAATGAACTGTTAAACAGTTCCTGTAACTGCATCATTTTCCAAGTTCACTTACACATCAAGTACATGGAAGAATCAGGGCTTAGCCAYGAATGTTTAGAGGATTGTACACAAAAACAGAAATTGGACATTTTAAACTAATATTTCCACTGAAATACTGGCCACAAATAAGACTTCCAAAAAGCTAGAAYCAGAAGAACAAAAAAGATTTGGTGGTTGAAGTCATTTCGTTTTAATTCAATYAAACAAGTTGTTGCTTGAAGCCAACAAATCACGCTCAAAATAGGTTGGTTCTTGTCTAATTTGTCATATTTTTATGGCTTTTTAGTACATCACCCTAGCATCTATACTGGTTCTCCTCTAAGCAGACCTTGTACTTGTGTGGGGGTGTGAGGGTTGTCATATTGTATTATATCCACCTAAAAAATTAACATTACAATACATTTAAGACYAAAACAATATAATACAATACTATGCATAAATTTGGCAAAGTATTAGACAAGTTTGGGGGTGTATGCACCTCCATTGGCTCCAGCTCTGTCATTCTACATAACACTTGTCCTGTTCTAGTTAGCAGTATACGTCACAGCGTCACACAGGCCACACATGGGAATGATTGTATATAAAGTTTAAACATGAATAAGTTTAAAAAGAGACACCTGTTTGATGTTTTTAACTTCATGCGAGTCAACTATGATTATTTAAAAATCTGACTCATCAAAATGTCTGGGTGAGCTCTTTCATTTTCTTTCTAAAATGTTAGAAACAAATACTAATAAGATCTCTGATATAAACCCCTATTGATCATAAGCAGTTGAAGTTCAT